GTTGATGTTTTTTTAAGTTCAATAAAAAAAAAAAAACAATAAAACATTATTAAAGAAATAATAATATTAAAATGCTTATCGGCTATCGCCATTCAAGAGTCTTCGCTTGCGACGTGAACACTATGTAATGCAGTAATTATCAATGTATATTATCATATAATAATTACATTATACTATACTATTTAATTACAAATATTTGAATACGTATAATAAAACAGATGACGGGTTTGCATCCACTTTCAAAACAATACTAAAAAAAATTGATCAAGCAAACTAAATCATTAATACATAATATTGTTTTAATACTGTAACATTTTTAGATTGCTATATTTTTCCATAATCCATGTAATAAAACAATAAAAATCCGATTTATACGACAAAATTTGAACCTACTGTTAAAGAAAATTGTAATATAAATATAAATTTAAATTGTAACCATGTTATATAATGAACACCATACAAATACTGTATTTTTAATAATGACTATGTAATTTTGCACAAAACTAATAACCTTTGGTGTTGATGTTTTTTTAATAATAATCATACAAATATTTGAATACGTATAGTAAAACAGATGACGGGTTTGCATCCACTTTCAAAACAATACTAAAAAAAATTGATCAAGCAAACTAAATCATTAATACATAATATTGTTTTAATACTGTAACATTTTTAGATTGCTATATAACTTGCCATGTGTTTTTACATAGTGTAAAATGTCGGTGAACCAATTGAATATAATAATTATTATCGTTCATATCTGGGCCTAATTTACAATTTATTTACCAAGCCTGACACTTAGAACCAGTGGCGTACGTCGCGGTCGTTTGCACATTTTATTCATAAAAACGTGAATTCATTACCTAAATCTACAGCATGAAGAACAAATAAAAATATAATTCAACATTTTGGGTAAATACCATAAAAATAAGTTTTATTAAATTAAATTCATTGTAAACACGCTGCCGTTAAGTAAACGGAATACTATATTAGTCTTAATTCTTTTCAAAAGTCAATAACATTTTTTAAACTTAATACAGTGCTTTCCAAACTGATAGTCACCAAGCAATAATACAAGTATTCCAAATTGAATTTTCATCAGGAATTCTCGTGCGTTTATTTAAAAATAAAATAAAATTTTTATCGTAATTGTTCGAGACATGGAATTACCTTATCGCGGGACGCTACTCTGAGCGACAGCGACACCTCCCTTCTCCTCCATACATCACTTCATAATATTTTAATTTTTTAATTATTAAAATACTGTTATGGGTATTTTGACTCTTTGTCTTCGTTTTCTGAGTGTTGAATTATTTTTTTAGATTTTTTTCTTAGACACAACGAACCGGAGGCGTACGTCGTTTGAACATTTCGTTCATAAAATCGTTAATTTATTACCTACATCTACAGCACGAAGAACAGATAAAATATAATCCAACATATTGGCTGAATACCGTAAAAATATATTTTATTTAAATAAAATTCAAAGTAAACAAGCTGCGGTTAAGTAAAAAGAATACAATTAGTCGTGACTCTTATCAAAAGTCAATAACATTTTTTTACAAAACTGTGCTGGTTAGACTGATAGCAACCGAGCAATGAAACAAGTATTTAAAATTGTTTTTTCATCAGGAATTCTAGTGCGTTTATTTAAAATGAAAATATAATTTTTATCGTAATATTATATGTTTAAGCATTATTATCGTTTGATCACTTTGGCCTCATGATATACAACATCATATTACTGTATGACTGTATCATAATTGAAGCTTATGAGATTTGTTTCAGAACATTATTATCTTTAAATCCTACCACTCAATTGACCTATATTTTTACTCTCTATAATAAAGAGTCTATATAAATTATACATTCTAGGTCATTTTTGATATTAATCCTTGGGCTAAATATAAGTTTTTTGTTCCTGAAAGATTTTTTGTAAGGTTTTCGTTATCATGGTTACTTATTAACAAAAACGTATTTATGATTCCTATAGATTTTCAGTGTAGATGAAAAATATCGAGTAGCTTACCTTTTACGTTTTTTTGTTTTCATTTAGGTATGTTTACGTTCTTGGTTAACGATTTTATAAACGTTATTTTTCTATAACGTTCAGGAATATTGTCTTATAATAATAAACGCGTAATATATAAGTGCCTATAAAGGGTACCCTAACCTAACCTACTTCAACTTTATTTTAGGTAAGTACTTATAATAACTAAAAAGTTAAAATTAATTATTCTTAATATTTAAATTTAAATAACATAATAGTTACAGTATAGAACCTCAATAATCCGGACTAATTAGGACTCTAGGTTGTCCGAATTAATGAAAGTCCGGATTAAACAAAATAACCAAAATACGTGTATGTATTATAGATTTAAGAATATGTATATAGTAGTCAACAATTGGATTACTTTAATGACAATTTGTTATTGGTATTTTGTAGAAATATTCGCGATCACATTCATTATATGGGAAATTCGTTGAATTTCTTTTCATGATTAATTAAGTCTGGGGCTAAAACTAAGCGCTTACGTGTTATTAAACGACTGTCCGGATTAAGTTAATTCCGAACTAACGGGGTCCGGATTTCTGAGGTTTTACTCTATAATAATTATAAAATGCCTTTAAATTTTAAATCTTAACCAATAATCAAAAGTTGACGTTATACGCATTGAAATTTACCCAACGATTATTACCAGAATTATTATTATTATTATTTTTTTTTTTTTATCATAAAATAATTTCTTTTCGTTTTTCTTTTCAATTTAGTTTTTATATTATTTTCGTTTTTGATATATTTTTTTGTTTTTGTTTGATAGCCTTTTTTAAATTCGTTTTTCATCCCTGGTTAAAACTCAAAAAGAAACATATCATCATCGCCAACCGTCTCTAAAATCGGTTAGAATAACAATAATGTTGTTCATACCTATAATATTTTAATCGTGACATTTCAATCACTATACATACATTAAAATAAAATAAATTATTATCATCATATTATTTTATAATCAATACAGAACTCGAAGGCTATAATAATAAGACAACTGCCTCTTATTACTGTTGTTTAATGAATAATTATTGTTATAAAAATGTACTCAATTAAGTATTGTCACAATATTTTTTAATTAAAGAATTACACAATTTAAATTATTAGCTGCCCGTGATTATAGGATGGTTTTAACTAAATGCCGTGGTCAACACGAACGTGGCGTTATCGAACCCACACAATGAGAACTATAGAATATATTTTTAAAATTATTCATTTGCGGTTGAATTAACATAATTAATAATTTAAGGCTGGGAAACTTTTCATCTGAATATTTATGTTTTTGTTTGAAAAATTACATTTATAGGTAGTTATATACTATGAAACTATTGTACTAATATTAATTAGTCTATTTATCTTTTATTTTCGTAGGTGTTGCTAATAACAAGACTTTAGCTAACTTTGGCTGACTTTAATAACAAGATTCATATTGTTAATATTAAAACTTAAAATTAATATTAAAATTTAAATAATTATTATACTACCTATATTATAAATAATTTTAATTTAATTTTTAGTGCATTGTACGTTTCAAACACCCAAACGTTTGTTTAAATTTTTTATACCAGTGTTTGAACACCCGAATACGTCCAGCAACTGAGACCCGAAACCCTAATAAATTATTCGGGAGTTAAGCCCTGGTTTTTAGTTTATTCAATTCACAGTCCTGAATATAATAATATATCATATATTCATATCATTAAAACACTAATTTATTATTATAATATATTTTTTACATTATTTCAGAACGTTTGTCGATGAATTTCATAACGAACGCCGCCGACTGATCAGGAAATTCGCTTGTCGCCCATGATTCTATAATCTATATTACTGTAAAATGTATTATATTATTAATCCACAATGTTGCTTGCAAACTATAGGATGATCCAACAGTATTAGTTTCAAGACTGAAAATTGTCGTTTGTATGTGTTCAGGAATTTATCGAAAGTACAAACATTTTTTTTACAATAATAATTTAATTATATTTACATTTTAATTGCCAACAATTTTATTTTATCTTTAAAAGATTTTATATTAGTTTTTTGAATCCAGTTATCAAGGCCTCGAAAATTCTTTACATTTAATTAGTACATACATATTTTTCGATTTTTTTTATAGCATAAAGACACAAACAGTCAATATTACTAAATTAAATCTTTTATATTTTTTCTATGTTTTCTATTTTAATGTGGAACCCGAATACATCGAATATTAAATAACGAACTGAAAAAGTTTGAAACATTTAAGAGTTTGATTTTTTACGGGAAACGAAGTACACGAGGGTTAATACACTATAAAACTACTCAACCGATTTTGATAAGATTATATGCTCAATGTGTGTGATTTAATCCAACTTAAAATATAGAATATTATTGCCATGATCAGTGGGCCTTACATTTTTTTAACACAGTACCTACACAATAAACGCATGCCTAAAATAATATTATACATACTACTATCAGGTCTATCGGTATCTATATCTATTTGTATATATTTATAACATTTATCTGCATAGTAATTTATAATATATATTCGACACTATAATATATTATTATAGTTAAACTCTTTTTAATTACTGTTGTTATATTTAAGTGTATTATTTTGGACTTGACAATATATATATCGTACTGCTACGGAGCACAAGCGATAACACGACACGGGCGTATCTCCCACCATGGTCAATTACGGTGCTTGGTGGGACGGCGGTTCGGATACGGTTAAACGTCGGCAAATACCGATCTCTCACTCAGCATTCTACGTTCTGATCCGTTAAAGTTACCACAGATTTTGTACCGTCGTCGTTTTTTGAGCTACAACTAAGTTTACTCCGCAATACCACATTTTTCGTTTACAAAAAACGAGTGTTGTCAAACGGATCACCACACTACACACTGCAACCGGACCACGTGGACCCTTCACAGCCAAACGACCAAGTCTTCGTCAACCACCATGAGATTTTCGTACGGGTTTTTAATCATCATGCTGATTATCAATCTCAGCGTTCAGGTTTCCGGAAACCCATTCCAATGGCAACTTACTTGTCAACATATTTGTTATTGGCTCTGCGGTGGCGATAACGTCTGTACTTGTGAACGATATAAATCACTGAATAATCTGTGGTTTCCTCATTGCAGGTTCGGGCCTGGTGCAATAGTGTTGCACGAGTTTCTTTCTTCTCCTAATGAAATTATCGAATAACTAACAATTATAAGTTACTGGGTATATGAATTTGTAGGAAAATTAATTTTTATTAGCTAATTCTAAAACACAGCTAAACCTTATTCTTATCACAATGATTGAATTATGTACCAATAATTTTTTGATTTACGATGTCTGTTTTAGCTTTTATAATTTAAATTTTAAATTATTTGATATTTTTTTTATTTTTATCTTACTTACATACATTTTTGATCTAAAACTAATTATGATTTTACAAGTATGTTAAACAATAAATATATGTAATTTATTAAATTGACCAACACAATATATTATGCTATATACCTACAACTTACCTAAATATTTTTTGTTGTTGTTCTTGAGAAGCTGTAGTTATATCGCTTGAATAAAGATAATTATTTTGATTAATTGGTAAGTGGTAACGATTTAACTTTATCTTATTGAAAACACCGCGATAAGTGTGTAGTTTACTAATTAACTTTAATATAATATATACTATAATAGAATAATAGTATACTTAACTATAATAGATATATACTATATATATTATTATGGTAGCCGGCTTTTTAACACGTGTGTGTATTCGTGGCAAGGATTTGTCACTAAAAATCCTGGGTGGTCACCCATCCGGGAGTTACTGGCCAGTGCGTACACTCAGAACGGGTTTCATAACTGAATTCGCGTCACACCGATCCACACCGATCCACAATACTATAGAGTTGTCATCATAAGAGTTGCATGAATTGTCATTCCAGACTGTTGTGGCCTATCGCAATCCAAGAGTCATCGCTTGCGACATGAACAACTACCTCTGTTATGCAGTAATTATCGGTTAATATTATCATATTATTATAAAGCTATAAAGGTGATTTGTAATTGTACATTTTATAATATAATAAAAATACCTAAACGGCGAACTTACAACGGTGTACCTAAATTATGCCTTGTTACACAATTATATATCATCCAGTAAGTACTTAAAATATGTTATATAATAATATAATATTATACATTAACTACAAACAAACGTGTGCGTCTGTCATTTTACCTACTCGCATGCAAATTACAAGCATGTTTTTTCAAAAAATACTGCCAGTGACTTCAATCACTATGGTCATTAGGATGTTCCAATTTAAATTTTGAAAGCAGATTTGAATTCTCCTTTAAATATACAATGCTTTAACTGTCGTACATTTTTCATATTCTATATCAATGTGTTTAAATTTTAATAATGAATATGATCTATTTTTACTCTTTTTGTCACTAAATGTCTAAGTAAAAAAAAGAAAAACCAGAAAAAAGAAAAAAAAAATTGTTAAAGCATAGGCGATTCAGTAACGAATATAAATCCGTGTTCAATAATTTTTATTGAAACATTATACTGAGTGTAGTGATTGAAGTCGTGGGTTATATTTTCGACCGAAAATGAATCACGCTCCAGTCCCCTTAAGCTGAATAAAAAAAATATTATATATATTGTATACTCATTCCTCAATGATTACATTATCATATAAATATTATATATATTATATTATATACAATCTCAAACTCTTTGATCGAAAAATTGATTATATTCATTATTGTAGAAAAAAGTCTAAAATTTCAAATCTCTATAATTAAGTAGGCTGCTCAAACAGCGCGGCACCACTTTTGTATTCCATTTAACTCTTTAGGGGTTGAATTTCCAAGTATACATATAATAATATATATTAACGCAATCGCCAACACGAATTTAAAGGTCGTAGAATAAAATTACGCGACCACAACAGTAGCAGATCATCCCGAACGACTATGGCTTCTCGTAATACGAGAGTGATCACTGACGACGTGAATACCTCTGGTATGTGGTAAATATCGGTAGGTATATATTATAATCATAATCGTACATTTATATATTAGGTTATATTCATACAACTATGGCCAATTTACCTACATATTATATTATAATAAGATTTGCAATGGTGTGCCCACATTATGCCACCTAACACAATATTATATCATCGATCAGGTATGTATTATTATAATAAAATATTGAATACTCAATGATTACATTATTAAATCATAAATACATTATATCTATACATTTTCATGCTTTATAATCCAAAACTAGATTATTTAGTTTATAGTAAAAATAAGTCTAAAATTGAAATCACTATAAATAGCGCAAACAGAGTCAACATACTTTGAAAATTATTCTAAAAATGGTTATAAAATGAATAATACTTATAAAAAACGTTTGGTGAAAATTTCATTTATATGCACTTTCCTATTTGTTTGAATTACAACAAAATTAGAAAATCGATTTTGTTGAATATTACCGACAGTTAATATTATTAAAAAAGTACTATTATTACTACTTTTATTGTCTATATACTTTAATTTATAAAGATATGTACTTCAAAATCACAGAAATATTTTTAAAAAAAAGGTGATCTGCTGTTCTGTAGATTACAAATGGGTCACTGTATAATGGATTTTATTAAATTTGAATTCAATGATATAATATCATTGTATAAGAAAAACGATTCTGAGCGGAGACGGTATGTCAGTCTATGTATAAGACGTAATATTATATACTCATCTATTTACCTATTTCAAAAAAATGTAAATATAATAAATTAAAAATTAATCATATCACAATATCCATTAGGTACTTATAACGCGTTATACATCAACAACAAACCGTGATACTATCATAGATATATAATAATAATAATAATAGTATTTATTGCAACAATGAAAATTTTATACATTTTAAAAATACTTAAGTTTATATACATTGCGCTTCCCCCTATAAGCGTAGCTTGTGCTGGGGGAGCGGTCTTTATCTTAATTCTTAATAATAAATGAGATTTAAAATATTACATTAAGTAAAATTGCTTATAAAATAAACTGTAACTAAATATAATTAGAGAAAAATAAAAATAAAAAACAATGATAATTATTATGTTAACAAGACGGTATGGATAAAAGAAAAACTATAAATTTAAATTCTGATGTAAAACATGCCATCTGAATGACTTAAAACTAGAAAAATCGTTTACATTAATATTTAATTTTTGACATAGTTTTAGTCCCTTGTACAAAACACTTTTTTGACCAAATACTTTATTATAAATGGGTAGACTTATATTAATATTATTACTGTATCTTGTATCATGATCATGATCTAGGAAGGGAATTAAATGTTTATGTTTATAAAGTACAATACGAGTAGATAAATTTAAAATTAAATTAAAATTATTAACTTTTAATTCATTATATATAAATTTAGTGTTAGTTTGCATAGATAAATTTAATAAATATTTAATAATGCAATTTATAGTAGTTATTAATCTAGATAAATGAATATTAAATGTTCCTCCCCATATTGAGATACCATACGAATAAATTGACTGTACCAAGGATAAGTAAATTATTCTTTTATATGATTTATTAAAAATATATCTTATATCTTTAAATATGAAAAAGAATTTACGTATAATATTGTTAACATAATTAATATGACTATCCCATTTTAGTCTGTAATCAATAATTAAGCCAAGATATTTTAATTCTTTTACTTGTTCAAGTATAATGCATTTAGGAGTACATTTATTAATCAAAATTGAATTACATTCTGAAGAATGAACCTTTATAATGTTTGTATCTACAATGTTATTATCTTGTGTATTGAAAAAAATATATTTAGATTTCGATAAATTTAATTTTAGTTTGTTTTTGCAATACCAAGTATTAATATTATCTAGGGTTTTATTTGCTTCAGAATACAAGGTATCTATAGTTCGTTCTGATATTAAAATTGATGTATCATCAGCAAAACTTAATATTTCTGTATTAAAATTTGTTTTTATATTTAGAAGATCATTTATACAAATTATGAATAATAAAGGGCCTAGTACTGTGCCTTGAGGCACTCCACAGGATATTTTCAAAGTGTCACTATAATGATCATTAAGTTTAACTTTTTGGGTTCTATTGCTTAGAAAGGATTTTAATAAATTATTTGGCAGTCCACGAATACCTGCGTTTTCTAATTTTAATAGTAATAAATTATGATCAACACAATCAAACGCTTTATGTATATCAAGGAATATACCCATAACTTTATAATTTTTATCAATATTTTTTCTTATAAAGTTATCAAAATTAAAAAGAGCATCCGTAGTGGATAACCCTGGTCTAAACCCAAATTGTTGCATAGAAAAAAATATTTATATAATTATATATATATAATAATTTATTTAAAAAATCAAACATTCTGCTTTTGATGCATTTTTCAAAGATTTTTGAAAGAGTTATAGATAATGATATAGGCCGATAATTTCCAGGTAATAATTTATCACCCCTTTAAATAATGGAACTACAATACATTTTTTAAAATTATGAGGATATACACCGGTTTGTAGAGATTTATTATATATAATTGATAGAGGTAGGGATATAGAATTAGAAATGTTTTTAAGTATGTAATTGGATAATTCATTTTCGTAAAAAGATGTATTATTTTTTATTTTATTAATGTGATTTATAATTTCTTCATTACTGATATTACTTCATTACTTATATATAATAGTGTACTTTAGAAGTTTCAAGTACCAACGAATAATATTATACAATCACAACAAAATAACTAAAATAGTTATTCTAGGTTTTTTATATGTAATTTCATCCAAATTTGAACTTAAATTTACTATAAAAATAAACTGTGATTATGTATTTTTTAGATTTTTTGGTAACAGAATTAACTACATACGTGGAATCTTGTCTTAAATTTTCAATCCTTAGATATAAACGTTGATAATTTATAAATTTTTTACCTACAAATAATTATTCAATTTGAAATTTGAAAAATTTTGTTAAAATTCGATTTTTAAATGCTTATATAAAAAAAAATTGTGCCTATGTATTTTTAATATTTTTCAACTGATATTGTAACAATATATCAGGAGTCTTGTATTAAATTTTTACACTTTTTGGCCCAACAGATAAAACTTTATTGACATTTATAGAAAAAAAAA